ACAACCCCTCCCCCCCCCCCCCCCCCCTAGAGCATGTCCCAGCATTATTCTTTTCTTTTACCTTGTTCCTTTAAAGCAGAACCCCCACACTGCAAGGGTTAAGTGCTCATTATGTCTAGGTTCAAAAAGAAAAGTTATACTGCCCTGATCCTCAAAGCTGGCTTGTTCTTAGACCCATCCATGGAGCCCCTCTCCCTCTCTGCTGCAGCGGCCTAAGGTCCCATCATGTTCTATACACAATGTATAGGACTTAAGTCTGGGTTCACACCTTAGCGTATTTGAAACTCGTGTTTGCCGCGCGTTTCTTACCGCGCGTTTTTACTGCGATTTGCGGTAAAAGAAACGCTCGAGTTTCCGAGGAGGTATCCGGCTGATAACAGCGGGATACGGACGTTAATACGCCCCAAAGAAGCTCATGTACTTCTTTGGGCATATGGCGTTTTAACCACGCGATCAAATGGGCGGTAAAACGCGCAGGTGAGAACCATGCCTATAGGCAAACATGGGTTTTCACCTGTTGCCCGTTTTACCGAGCGTAGGAACGCGCGGTAAAACGCTCAGGTATGAACGGGGCCTAAGGATGCAGAGGGACATACCATCGCTGCAATGGAGGAGACAGGTGGAAGTGGACCGGTCTAAGAGTAAGCTGGCTCCAAGGATCTGATGAGTATAACTGTTATTTTTGAACCTAGACAAAAATGAACAATTAACCCATTTGCAGTGTGGAGTTCTGCTTTAAGTGAAACATTTTTTCTTACTACCTCTGACATTCTCATCAGGCTAAAAAAAAATTCTTGCAGGGTCAGGCTGCTGGTTCAGTTCCTGTTGATGTTGGCACGCCCCATAGGGCTAAATCTCTCGAGTGCCCTTTTCCCATATGCAGTGTGTGGGCAGGCTCTTTAGAGTCACAATTGAAATACTCACACAAGTCATTTATCTTATCTGTCAAATAAATTGTATTTCTGCCCAACCAGACAGCAGGGTCAGGAGGGCGACATTGCTTTCACAATGTTATGTAATATAGTGGTGTCACCTACCTGCCTACATCGTGCTGACTGGACCATGAAGGAATATTAACTGATAATTCATTCACTCTGCTCAATCTGAAATATAGGTGTAATTATTTCTAATGAAACACACAACTGCATTAAATAGTGCTCTATTATGCCTCTGCCCAGAGTTTACCTTTAATATTTATGTATTTTTATCCAAACAAACATTTGCATTAAAAAAAAATCTTGTTGCACGAGTATTTATTGAAAATGTTAGCTGTGTGCGTGCGTTTTGGTGTTTTTCATTTAACTTCAGTTTCTTTGCTCTTTTTGTCTTCTTTTTCTTCCTTTTTCTTTCAGACAGGATGAACAACCAAGACCCTTTGCCCTTCATCCCTGCTTAAAAACCACAGAAGAGGAGCTCAGATTCCTACAGACGTGTGCCCAGGTGCTAGTCCTCTGTTTAGTGCCCGCTCGGGATGCCCAGTCTCACAGCTTGCGCATAGTACTTTCTGAAATACTTGCAGCTAAAGGTATGTATTAACCCCTTTGTAGTAATGGCTGGCCCAAGGAAAATGTGTGCCTGTTGTGTAAGACTGCCAGTGCTCGGTTGACGTCAGGAACCACAAATAAATTGCTGTCACTATCTGTTTTTTAGGAAGACTGCGGTTTGTGTGGCTTAACAAAAACTGCAGGGTCAGCATTTTCAGTTCTCTTGCTCATGCAGTCTTGTTTTGAGCTTTGATCATTTTAACCATGCTCTGTTTGCATTATAGTCCTGAAAAATCTGATTATATATATATTTCTATGTTATTTGCCACTATGAAGCCGCTTCAGAAGAAATCTAGATTTTTAGTACATAGTTGCGTTGTTTTTAAAAAAAAACATTGTGTGTGAGAACCTTCTAAACTGAAAAGCAAATAGTGTGCCTCCTGCAAAACGGAATACTTATGTAAATATACATAGAAAGCGATAGGTCCCTCTGCACTCCTTACAGCGTTCCCGGCCCAAATTGCAATGGTGGTGCTCGCAGTGATAATCACAGATGGCGCCGTGCACATAAACAGTAGAAAGCAGGAATCGCCAGCACTCCAACGTTTCGGGGCCGCACAGGGTCCCTTCATCGGGCAATAATATGACACATTCCCTGATAAGGGGACCCTGTGTGGCCCCAAAACGTTGGTATTTCGTTTTGTGACGACTGGTTCAAATAAATGGACATTCAGTACTTGAACTATATTTACTGAGTGCTGGCGATTCCTGCTTTCTACTATGTAAATATACACATTCTCTAAATCACTTATATTGTGTAACAGTTAAAGGAGGTTTCTACTTTATTCCAGCTGTGAGATTCTGCTTTAGTTTCTTCCCTGTAGCGCAGGGGTAGCGAATTAAGATTCAAGGAGGTCCGAATCGCGTTACGGGCAGAACGTTCACTCAGTCCGTTTCTGTGCCGCGATCCACCATTTAGGCAGCTGCTGGTGTGTATTCCCAGGCAACTTTTTTTACATTTTTCACTTTATCACCTTTAAAAAAAAAAAAATGTTTTATTTAACTGTACTCACAGGCCCCTTTTGTGACAGCATTTGGAGGTAAGAAATTCTCTTTATGGAGACCTCTAATTTCTCTTTTGCCCATCATCACAGACGATAAAGCACAGGAACGTACGGTGGTGCAGGGAGGGGGCCGCCCAGGAAGCCAGTGGTCCTACCAACTAATGACTGAATCGGAGGGGGGCCTGTGATGGATTATGGCTGAAAGTGAAAACACTGGCCTCGGAGGCTGATGTATCCATTGTCAGCCAGCCATAACCCAGCGCAGGTCGACGACTGCGGTCCAGACAGAACCGCCACTTGGTCCATGTTTGGACCAAGGTCCACCATTTTGTGACATGCACAGAGTAGTCTTCCCCTTTAATGAATAACTAAACCCAAGAACAACAATGTGGTATAGTGCAGTTTACCAATCTAACCAGTTTGGTTGATTGTTTAACAGTTTTGATGCTTGGAAAATAATGATTTTTCTTCACAAACTATTGCAAGCTGTGATGTGTCTGATGGACTGCACAGTCACATTAAGACACACTTTGCAACTGCTAGAACAGAAAAGTGGAAGTGAGACTATGAAAATGGAGGTTGTAAGTAAAATGGGGAACCTTTATAAAGCAACTTAGCAACACAAATGAGATGCAAATCAGGCTGCCTTGTGTTCAGAAAAGTCCCTGTGACATTTTTACATTGTATTTGTGACCTATGTTGCCTGTATTCCTGGGAGCCAAGTGTGACAGTTTGCAAAGTGCTGTAACAGATCTATCATTGAAGATAAGACAGATTTTCACTCTAGGGCCCCATTCACACGGGGCAATTTGGGATTCCTCTGGCACAACCCCAGGTGTCCCGTTTAGATGCAGCTGCTAATCAAGTTAATGACCGGGTGACAACAGCCACATTTGTAAGCGGCAATCGTATATTATACGATTACTTGTGGTGTGAAAAGGATCACTGTCTCTGGATGCTTCCATCCTATTTCCAGCGACAGTAATATATTCCAAACCACATGTAATCATATCGTATACAATTACATGCAGACTGCCGCCTAGACATGTGGCTGCTGTCACCCAGTCATTACCTTGAACAGGCACAGCGGCCGCATCTAAACAGAGATGCCTGGCAATCCTGTGGTAGGAATCTGTAGGTTCCTAACAGCTGGGTTGCCAAAACACCCTGTGTGAACGAGGCCTAAGTGGTCAGGGTTGGGTTTTTCCTGCCGCAGTGCTATTTTGAAGTAGCCCGGGGAGATATTTATGAATCAAGCTGTAACCTTGTAGTAAATCTGTTGCAGTATCTGTCTGCTTCTATTTAGCATTGCCTTGCTGTGCAACATAATTGATAAATGTCCCCATATGCCTATCTGACAATAGCCAGTTCTGTAATCTCATTTGAGCTTTAAGAGGTAACAGTAGATTGTAAAAGCGATTTGTGTCACAGTGATGTCCTGAGTTCTTTTTTTTTGTTTTTGACTATAGCATGGAGGGTAAAAAAGTTGGTCAGTTGACACCCAGTACTAGGATAAGCAGCTTAACAGAGGTTCTAACCCTTCTCAGTTTTAGCTGGAATTAGGTGTGCTTTACCTTCTCACTGCTCTTGCATACACCACTAACAAATGCAGGTTTATTTAATAAGGCGGCAACGAGCATTAAGGATAAAGTTTGTTCCATCACCTACAGTAACCAGATTTTGGTTAATTTTAGTCCTTTCAAAAAAATATGAATTTTGATTGTTGCACTCTACTGTTATTCCAGCACATGTGCACCGGAGCTAATTCATCCCGGCACAGGCAATAATGAAATTGTACACGAAGTGATGCATGCATGGCTCGATGTACAGTCATGCCTTAATTAAATGAGCTTGCATGAATAAAACCAGCTTAGTTTGGTCAAATTTTTTAAGAATTCAGCTTTTTTTTAAAAAAATGGAGTAATGTGAGTGTGTACACGTAATCATTCCTGTACTCTTTATGTTAGTTACACGGTTTCATTCCCAACCTATATTACTAGTGCACAAAAACATAAATGCAGCCTAATGCATTTATTCTATTCAAGTCTGCTTCTTAAGTGACCTTCTTCTTGCTGTGTCCTGGTTTTGTTTCCTCAGTGCTGAAGCCGTTGGTGGAACTGCTGAGTGATCCGGATTACATTAATCAGATGCTGCTCAGCCAGCTGGAGTACAGAGAACAGGTGAATGAGCGTCACAAGAAGGCCTATACATACGCCCCATGTTATGAGGAGTTCATCAAGCTGATCACAAGCAGTTCTGACATTGAATTCCTCAAACAGCTAAGGTATTTGGCTTTCCAATATGATGAACCCTAAACATACAGTATTTTCAAATGAGGTTATGTTGCAAATATTTTATGGACATCCGGACCCGTGCGGATGACAGCGTACAGCCGTGTCCTCCCATATGGAAGAACAGGCTGCTGCGTGCAAAAAGAAATGCAGCACATAGCCCTCCCTGGATTGGCCTGTTTACAGGCGTGCATGCCGCATGGATGTGTATGCCTCGTCTGGATGAGGCTGAAAATGAAAGACATGAATAATTTAGGTGATATAGGGTATTTGGCTCGACGATACTAATTGAAGTGAAGCTCTAGGGCTGCAACTATCAATTATTTTCATAATCGATTAGTTGGCTGTTTATTTTTTCGATAAATCGGATGAATAAAAATAATATGTTTAAAATAAAATACAGAAATGGAGTGTTACAGAAAAAAATTGCATGCACAATTTTTTGTAGTCACACTGCACTCGAACGCACGGCATTGCAGTACCACATGTTCCATGGATTTGAAATAATTAGAATTATAAACTCTAAGCCAATATAATAAAATAACCAAATATTTTTTTTTTTTAAATATCAGACTAAAATTGGACAACAAATACAATTATATATAAAGTAATATATATGCATAAACATATAAAAGCCCAGACATCAGTTTACAGTTAGCCATGAATATTGGCCTGAGAAATATTGCTCTCACTCGCATTGGCAGGGGACTTCAAAATATATATTTTTTTAATTTAATTTTATGTAAATACAGCACACAGTGGCTGGGAGTACTAGCCAATCTGCTAATGGCTATTCCAAATTGCAATAGCCAACAGCAGGCTGGCTATTGCACCCACCCACTCACTGTCTGCTGTCAGTCAGCAGAGGAGGATTTAGAAGGAGAAAGTTCTCCTTCAGGTCCTACTCTGCAGAGGAGTCACAGGCTGACAGCAGAAGGGGGAAGCATAAGTGATGCAGCCACGAGGCAAGCTCTCCTCACCGCTTGGCACCAGATGCAGGAATCTGTGTCCCAGCTGTGCTCCCAGCGGGGAGGAGAGAAGCAGAATCAACTAATCTATAATGAGAATCGTTGACAACGATTCTCATTATCGATTCTCATCAATTAAATTGATTAGTTGTTGCAGCCCTAGACGGTTGAAATGGCTGTTGGTACACATTCATACACAGAGGCACTTTCAGAGAGATGCTCAATTTAGTGATGTGAACAGAAGCACAATATAGAGGATATGTAGTACTGTGTTAGCATATGTAAAATTACAAAGGAGATCTCTTCTCAAGAGCCATTGTGTGTTTTGACAAACTGACCTTTTATTTTTAAAGTCTTTAAGATGTGTGAGGTGTTATTCAAATATACATTACATTATATACATATCATTTTTCAGGAACACTATAAACCCCTGGGTTTTCATGGGATAGAAAGCTTTAGGTACAGATTTCCACTGGGGTAGAAGCTCAGTTGGTTCTGTATGGGGGTTATTATTTCACTGTCATGTGATATAAGCTACAGTGGGGCAGGGGCCCTTCTACTGTGAAATTGGAGAATTTCTCACATTAGTACAATATGAGAACAATGGCAAATTGGGCATTTTCTTTGTCACTAATTAGACGTTGGTAAAAAAAATAAAAAAATCACCAGATTTCTAAAACAAGTCTGACTGGTAATACCAGTTTTTGCAGTCCTGTTGTCTTCCGAACAGTGACTGCCCAGTGGTACTCTATGCTTCACAAAGAAATGTGAGCCCCTCTCCTGGTGGTGCATTTGGAGGGGAAACAGTCTTCATGACAAGTTGAATAAACTTGGACTTGATGCAAACCCGATTCACCCAAGCCCGCTGAAAATTGTGACCGACACCCCCCTTCTCTCCTGCCTAAATCAGTGGCTGCAGTTGCGGCGGGGGTATACTGTGATGTGTAGCTGTGGGGCAGGGAATGTGCCTGCTGTAACTGATTGCCTGAGAGGGAGGTGTGATGGTCATAGTTTTAAGCGGACCTAGGCGTTCTGGGTTCTCGCCAAATTCATCACGTTTCATGATGTCTCTGAACTGCGCATTGCTTTTCTACAGCTTGTTTTGGTTTGGTTTTGTTTTCTGTGGAGCACAAGAAACAAAATTGTAATGCAGAACTGTCAGATAAATCACATCTCTCTGTACTGCAAGACTATAGCTGTACTACTGTGATATATCGATGCATCCCTAGTGAGTATATCGGCCGCCGAAACATATTGGCCAAAAATTGCACTTTTGGCTCAATGCCGAAAGTGCCATTTTCCTGCCAATACATCGGCGCATCCCTGCTTTCTTTCCTCCCCGCTGGGCACTGCTCTGTGTCCCAGCGGGGAGGAGAGAAAGTGTGACAGCCGGCTGAGCGCTGCGGGAGGAGAGCGTTGTGAGCGGCCGGTGTCTCTCCTCCCACATCGCTCAACCTCCTATCACAGTCCGGCAGAGTGTGGTGTGTGGGCGGAGACAGCCCGCTTTGTCACCGGAGGCTGAGCTCTCCTCCCCGCACCGCTCGTTCAGCCCTCTGTGATGGCATGTCAGAGAGGAGAGCGGTACAAACACTCTGTGATCGCTGAGTCTTTGTACATAATTGAGGACATAGCATGTTAACTATATCCTCAATTATGAATGAATGGGAAGTGATTTACATCCCCTCCTGTTCATTCATAATTGTAGTTATAGTAAACATACCATGCCCTCATGTTATCAATGAACAGGAGCACTCATAGAGGATTCCTGTTCATTGATAACAGAGGATACAGAAAAAGAGATAGAGGACTTTATGTCCTTAATCTCTTTTTCTATTTTAAAAGGGAAATATCAGGGGTCTGTTTAGACCCCTAATATTTCCCCGGAGCCCCTAAAAGTAGAGTAAAAAATTAAAATATTTAATAAAAAATCAATATAAAACAATTAAAAGTTTATAAAGTAAATAAAATATTAAAAAAATTAAAATAAAAAACATTTTCGGTTTCGGCCTGACAATTTATTTCGGTTTCGTTTCGGTTTTGAATTTTCCATTTCGGTGCACCTCTAATACTCTGATTAAAAAATACCCCTCATGAAGACTGTTGGGGTTTTCCCTCACATGCAGTTGCAGTGAAGCGTGACCACGACTCAGTACTCTGTAAGAGCATTCTGTATGCCAGGGATGCCTAAAGTAGTTGCTTATTATTTTAAGGGTTTAAATTGTCTTATCAAAAACCTGGCAGTAGTATAGTTTGTCACAACTTGTCGCTGTAATTTTTGTTGGACAGCTCGGGCTGCATATACATGTGTAGTAGCCACCGTTCCAAGCTTGTTCCCGTAATGTACTACAATCTCAGTACAAATGAGTAAACTAAACGTAAGATTGTAGTCCATCACGGGAGTGATCTTGGAGCGGTGGCTACATTACAACACACACAGGGACCATGAAAAATGCTTAGAAAATCTGGGAAATTAACTTACGTGACTAGAAATCATTATTTTTACAGGTCCTGTCACAATTTTCTCCCCATCTCAGCGATCATTCGAAGTCTTTTCCATGCTTGTGCCTTTCTCCACTCAGGTCTATCTTTCCCCAAGCCTTGCATGGTCCTGAACACTAGTGATATGCTCTTCTTTTAATAAAACAATAAGTGCTCAAACTGCTATTTGTAGTTGATGATGTGTTGATGTTCTGGAGCAGAATATGATTTTGTTGCCTGGCGACTTATTGTTCATTTGATGTAAAAATAACTATCTGTGCCAAGTCTAGGGCTGCTGAATGCTACTGACAGCCGAAATTATCTCTCATTTGTCTCCATCTAAAGCATGAGTTGACATGACCATTATCTGTGAGAGAGCACACAGTTATATTGAGTCTCTTCTGTGCTTGGTTCTGCGAGTGCAAAAATGATGGGTGCTCTTAAGTAAATTCACCTAAAAGGTTGTTTTTCTCATCATTATATGACACTTTAATTATACACCTAATTTGGTGGTAATGTCACATGTTCAGGTGCCATCTAAATTGCTGTATTTAAGTGTCCATTACATTGGTAAGATTTACATTACAGTTGCTATAATTACATAATACACTGCCTGGCCAAAAAAGTCACCACTTTAATTTAGCTAAGCAAATAGGTAAGAGCCTTCCATTGGATAATAGGTCTAGATTCAGCAACATTATGTGCCCAACAAATGAGGTCAGCTGTCTACCTGAATATACTGAATGATCAGGTTTGTCCATCATTGGATTTTTTCTTTCCTAGTGGCAGGGGCATATTTCAGGATGACCATGCCAGGATTCATCAGGCTCAGATTGTAAAAGCGTGGTTTAGGGAGACATCATTTTCACACATGGTTTGGCCCCCTCATCCAGACCATATTGAGAATCTTTGGGATTTGCTGGAGAAGACTTTACTCAGTGGTCTGATTCTCCCCCTCATCACTACAAGATGTTGGTGAGAAATGTATGCAACTCTGGTCCCAAAAAAATGTGACATTGCATAATCTTATCGAAGCGCTGCCACGAATGCATGCCGTAATCAAAGCTAATGGCAGTTCAACACAATGTTAGTGTGTGACTTTTTTTGGCCAGGCAGTGTACATTTTGTTTTTATTTTTGTGTGGTTTTTTTTTTTTTTTTTTTTTTTTTATAATGTGACTTGACTGCAAATTTTTTTTTTGTGTTTTTTTTTTTTTTTTTTTTTTTAATCATGGCCAATCTAGTGACCTGAAAGTTTTCTGCTGCCATTAAGCAGCCCTGCTAGGTCACCGTCCTTCCATTTAGCTTGTGGTTGGCCAGCAAAGGAGAATCAACAGATTGGTTAGAGTATCTTGCTTTTCTCTCCTATAAGCATGTCACGTTTCAGTAGATCTGAATGCAGAATGCCTGATTGGCCCCAATTGCTGCCCCTTCTCCCCCACTCAGAGTGCTGCTCTTGAGGAGAGGCCACATTCAGGTGTTTGTACAAGTTGCATTTAAAATACCTATAATGATTTAAAGAAGTATTGGGAGAGTAAAATGTACTCT